ACGTTTGTGTTACGTTGCCGTAAATTTATAAACCCCCCCCTCCTGCAAAGACAATATTCATACAATAAATTTAACATTTGCATTTATCCCTCCCTTTGGCTAGTTTTTTAACCTGGACGTTGGTGAGCGGGCCTAATCTTATGCTTCATAGTGGAGCGTTGGAGACGGTTGGTTTAGGTCCGGCATCGTTGGCTCATGCCGTGACAGAATAGCGTCATGAGCATGCGATGAGGATTACTGAGCTTCCCCTCTCTGATGAACCATTGCATAAGAGAACCAAAGTTCTAGCCTGAAGTGATAGTATCACACTTGTTACTCCTTTATTTGAAAGCCGCGTTGTAGTACGCTTACGTATAGGCACTGACGTTGGGTGTGATACTGGCGGGTTTTGCCGCAAATCACTCTTATTTTATTTATTTTTACGCAGATAGATTTATTTGGGTTTGCAAGGGAATTATACTATTGAAATATTTCAGAAAGTGCCCAACAGTGTTCCTTCTACTTGCGTGACAAGCTTTCGTTGTTGTTTTCATTGAGGTATTACTCAGGGAACAATGTTAAACACCATTTTTGTACATGGTTTTGCAACTAATCTTATATGTGCTTCATTTTGATTTGGGATAAGTGTTTGAACTATGGCTCGGGATTTCCACTGTGGCGTGCTTCTATTATGACATAACCATACGTTTTTTTGTTGTGCGACATAGTGGAAACGTGTGAACGTACCCTATGCCCTATGTAATTTAAAATCAGCTAGGAAACTTACTTCACAGTGAAGCATTTTAGTCACTTGAAGGTGTCACCTGGTACACACTAATATATATTAAATATAGGTCAAAGTCAAACACAACTTGAAACACGTTAAATTTTAGATTACATTCACAAGTGCAGGTACTTAATAAAGCATGGTAGGTAGATTAGAGATTTCAATTATTTATTAAATTAGACTAGAGATATCATAATCATCAAACGAACTTAAATAAGAAAATTTAGACAGCCTAGTAGCATTCAGTGGATTAACAGAAGAGTTAGGATGCGGAGGGTCCGCTTAGGGAGGCAACTAGCCTTTAAGGCAACTGACAACTAGCCTTTTCATGTATTGTCTGTTTATTTTGATTATTGCTTTAAGATATCAATTTGGTATATATGTGAAAGGATGAATGAGTGGGAGATGGATTTTCGGTTTCTTTACATTTAGCATCACTATGTGTCATTTCGTCAAAACCCCCCAATAACCGGCCTCTTCAATCCCTTCCTTTTCCCATGGCGTTCAAGTGGTCCGCATAGACTATTCAGCCATTACCCGTCCTTTATCCTCGGCTTTGGATTGACTTGCGCTCCCATTGCCCCACCAAACGCTGCAAAATGAAAATGAAAATGAAATAAATTTAACATTTGCATTTATGGACTGTAGACAATCACAATCACCATCCTTTCTTCTCCAAGAGTGTTAACGTAGAGTGTCACCAACCCCAAAGAAACATTGAGAAAATAATGAAAACCCAGAGTTGAATGGGTCATCAAGAAACGTCAGGCGAACAATGGCACACGGTTAATGAGAACCACTAAAATTGAGTCGAAAACATTCAAAATGAACTAAAGCACCGCAACTGAACTTTGTATAAGGCTTTGTATTTGTATAAGGTACTCCTGTCGAGGGTCACCCCAATATATTTTCAACCGATGCTTTGGGACGCATTTATACCGTGCATCTAAGCTGTTACTGAACGTGCGTGGACCAAAATCATTTCAGGCTTTGCGAACTGTCGATGGACAGTTGTGTGCAACTTATCGTGAAGCATGTTAACAATTACAATTATTGGAAAACGACTCTCATTGGGATCATACACTTGCCGATGCTGTACTTTCATCACGTCCAAATCAAATACGTGCATTATTTTCCATTATAATATCGGCGTGCTTTCATTCAAAGCCTATTGATTTGTGGGCAAAATACAAGGACGATATGACGAATGATATTTTACATCGAATGCGTCTTGCCACTTCAAATCCACAGTTAGAAATCAGAGGGGAAATGCATAATGAGGCGCTGATTCTGATCGAAGACATGTATTTGATGATGGTATGATTCCACCCAATCGTTCAATGCACGTTGCATTCAATCAAGAAATGCAACGAGAACAACAATACGATCGAGAGAAATTGAGCGAAACTGTTCGATCGAACATTCCCAAAATGAATGACCAATAAAAACATGCCTACGATACTATCATGAAGGCTGTCAATGACGAAAGTGGTGGAATATGCTTTTTGGTCGCGCCTGGAGGTACTGGAAAGACCTTTTTGATTTCGTTGCTTTTGGGAACTATTCAGTCGCAGAATCAAATTGCATTGGCACTTGCATCGTCTTGCATTGCTGCTACTTTATTAGATGGCGGTCGAATCAAATCAACGAAACTTCAACATGCAACATCTCCAAACATTTGCAATGGCGAAAGTCTTGCAACAATGCTAGATAATCGTTTGGGACGAATGTACCATGGCTCATAAAAAAAATCATTAGAAGGTTTGGAACGGACATTACAAGATTTTAGGGACAAGCGAATCATGTTTGGTGGTGTCTTGATACTGTTGGCAGGTGATTTCCGTCAGACTCTGCCAGTAATTCCACGATCATCGGCTGCTCATGAAATCAATGCATGCTTGAAATCATCAAATTTGTGGCGGCATGTCAAAACGCTCAAACTCACTACAAACATGCGTGTTCAATTGCAAAATGATGAAACTGCGGATGTATTTTCAAAACAACTGCTGGAGATCGGGAATGGCAGACTTCCCGTTGATACATTGACTGGCTTGGTAATGCTACCCACGGGTTTTGCTGTTTGACGGAATCCAAAAATGATCTTATCGAACGTGTATTCCCAAACATTGCAGAACAACATACGGATCATGTTTGGTTGAGCGAGCGTGCAATATTAGCTGCCAAGAACAAAGACGTCGACAACCTGAATTTTATCATTCAAAACACCATAGTCGGCGATTTGGTTTCATACAAATCCGTTGACAGTGTCATGAATCAAGACGATGTGGTGAGCTATCCTACAGAATTTTTAAATTCACTGGAATGTCCCGGATTGCCACCGCACAATCTGCAGTTGAAAGTCGGATCCGTGATTATCATGCTAAGAAATATCAATCAACCTCTTCTTTGCAATGGTACCTGAATCCCACCGTGAAAATGTTGAAATCTCGCGTAACATTTGAATAGGGCCCATGATCAAAATGTAAACAAACCGATTTTTGATACCATTCTGTAGCACTGGTAATTAGCTACCAGTCGTATAGGATGTTCCGCATTATCGATAAAAATCATTAAAAATAACTTGATTTTAAAAACGGCCGACCCACGAAATTTTTTCAATCATTCATGCTAAAACGGCCTAACCTCGGGCCTAACATATATTTTTTTTCGTTCGATGAGGTTCCATTCATAAGCCTAGCGACGTAGAAGGGCCGATGATTGAAAAATTTCAAATCAAAGCTAGGCCCTACTGCTTGAGGCAGGGCCGATGATTTATTTGACGTTAAGAAAAGGCTTAGCAAAGGGCCTACAATTTATGATGACAAGCACAACGGCTTAACAAAAAGGGCCTAACCATTTAAAGATTCACAAAAAGGCTTATTACTGTGATATTAAATTTTTATCGATTTTCATGTATTTTTGAAAACATTTCGCATGTTTTGGATGTTGTGCACTGAAATATAGTTACTATTGTTATTGTGAACAATATAAATGCTTCAATTTATTTATATAGGAATTAAATACTGGCGGAAAAATTTACAATTCATTTTCTGGATTGTTTACATTTTGGACATAGGCCCTTTTCAAATGTTACGCGAGAAATCTGCTTCATCAAACCTTTTTTTTTCAAGATGGCCACGAAAGGCTTAATTTTGATGGCCTATATTAATGCTAATGCTGTCATAGAATCCTCAGGAAAATTCTAGAATTTTTTTCAGGTTGTTTTTCCATTAATGGTCGCACAGAACATGCCATAAATCCTTTATTAATTCATCGATGGCCCATGATCTGAAAAGCTATTTTGAAGCCGTCTGGAGCCATTAAATTTTCTAGTAATTTGCAAGAGTAGCGTTGCAATCTCTCAGCATATTATCCAAATATTTTTCATTTTTTTTTAGGTTTATAGGTTTCTCGAAATTCGTAATTCCTTGGATTATGTATTAATTTACACTACCGTTCATAAGCTAGGAATCGAAACTATGCAAAGAAAAAAGAAGACATGCCTCACTTAGCAGTTTGCAGTAAGGATTCCTCTTATAAGTGTTGAAGAACACTACAACAAGTATGTAGTAATTCTCCCCTTATGACGTATAAACGCCCAATCGAATAAATACAATGTGTGTGCCTCCCCCCGTGGACAACCCGTACCGTAATACGTCGTTAAAAAAGCGATTCGTTTGATTTTAATTTCATTTCATGCTCCTCCTGAAAGCGCACGCGAGAGCTCCAAACCATGTGTTGTGGCTATGGAGGTAAGCTAGCCTCAAGTCGGGAAAATATAAAACATGATTAAAGCTGTTCGACCGTTTCCCCTTTTCAGCGCCTCATCAGCCCTCCGCGCCCTTCTCAGTCTCCTCGCCACTTTTTTTTCCATAACGAAACGTGTTTTGCTTTTCATTTTCTACCGAGTTAGGAGTTGCCGTCATCGCCGTTGTAAGCTTTGGTGTGTTTTGTTGCAATTTCTGTCGCACTCAGCGCTGCCGCTAGTTTCTTCGGTTCGGTTTGAAAGAAGCCTAATATTTACACATAGATTAAATCTACACGGGCAAATAAATATTTACCCGGACGCTCCGCAGCTGCTGATGTACATAGCTTTGCCGGGATTTACACTGCATCGTGCCCTTGGAAAAAGACAGTCTTTGCGCCATGTGGTCGCCGAACGTGTCAAATATCAATATTCAATCGTTTGCCTATAACTTGACATTTCTCCTTTTCTCCTCTTTTTATCCGACAGATTATTATGGAAAAGGCGAAAGCCTACATTAAAAACGAATTACGTGGGGGCTCCTTGACATCGCATTCGGAGCCCCCGCCAACCAGTCAGCAACAGCATCATCCAGCACAGTCCCAGCACCAACCGTCGCCAACACAACAGCAAGCTGCCAGTCACGATGATCCATCCACGATCTGCTACGTATGTGGTGCCCGTGGTGCCATGGACCATTTTTTCCTCCGGGTACGGCCAAACCCGGAGCGCCCTAACGAACCCTACTTTCCATTGCTTGAATCGCATCCCCCTCCGAACGGTATTCCCCAGTGGATGCCCACCCAGTTAGGGGTTCGTGCTTGCAATCTCTGCTATACGGCCCTTATCAAACAGTGGGACTACCACGAACGGGAAAGTAAGCCAATCTCGCAGAGATTGTACTGGCTCAAACGAACCGATGGCAAAAGCTACATCGGTGCTGAAATGTCCACCCAGGGCGAATATGCCACCCAGGTGCTCGGACTAAACCCAGAACACGTGCCTACCAGTGGTCGTTCGCTTACGCCTCAGTCGCAACAGATAAGTTCTTATGGTAGAATCGAGAGTCCCAATAGTTTAGCACGGCCGCGGTCGCAGGATCATCCCGGCGCAGCTGGGGGTGGTGCTCTTCCTCTGCCACAACATTACCAAGTAGCTAGGAACGAAAGTCCAATCCGGTCCAGCTCGCGGAACGAATCTCCGCAGGGCAAAGCCGAACCATACCATCCAACCAAACGGTACATCGAAAATCACATAAACAATAGCGGAAGCTATAGCCAACAGGGTTCGAGGCCTTCCAGTCGAAATGAAAAAAGTGTCACACCGAGGCCTATGTCTAGGGAAAACCCCTCCCCAGTGGCGGCGGTCCCTAGCACTACAACATCGGCTGTCACTCAGCCAGCGACAGCATCCCCTGTCCTGGCCGGTCGATTTGATGGCATGAAAATGTCTTCGTTTGCTCACCATAAGTTAAAAATCAGTAACTATGCAAATTCACTAGCAGCTTCGGCTGCGGCCTCAGGTGCCGCCGCTCCGTCTGCCAATGCTAACGATAACAAATCGACCTCGTCTACATCGTCCTCCACGCATCGGCTGGAGGAGGACGGGGCTCTGGATTTGCGGAATTCTGCCATCGGACCGGTTCCAGGCGCTACCGGGACGGACATACTGGACCTGTCGATGCCGGACAAGAATTCGATGACCGAAGTGTGTTACGTGTGTGGCGACGAACAGAGGCGGGGGAGCTTGGTGGAGATTGCAACCGTAAAGCCGAAGGATGGCAAGGAGCAGGAGAAGCCGTACTTTCCCATCTTCGACGAAACGCATGCTAGGTACCTACTATTTTAATCCGTGTATTGCGCAGATGTTAATATGTTGATTTTATACGTTTTAGGCCTGCCCGTTCACGACCAAAGGATCCCAAAGGATTGGTACAAGCGTGTAAAACATGCCACCACTATCTGATCAATCAATGGCAAGCGTTAAGTGTAAGTTTTTGCTGATTCATTATTATATGTAGGTGTCGGGAATTTGAAGCAGTTCTATCGTGGGCCTATTCGGTTCAGTGGAGAATATTGAGCCTTTATTCAGGTGTTAGGATCACTATAATGAAATATGCTATGTCATGGTCCCATGGGGCAACGAGAAAAGCGCAATATGCGTTTGTATTAGTAGGGTAAATTATGGCTTCGGCACCCATTGACTGTTTTCGGCAACCGAAATTGAAACATTAATTTCACTATATTTTCCCATCAAAACTCTTCGCTGAATGTATTCAACCGATTCCTTACCCTTTCAGCTTCAATCTTATTACATTTTTACGACTGAGCAATCCTGTTATGCCAGATTTTTCTTTAAATGAAATATACACACTACAAAATACGGCTGATTTCGAGTTGCCGATAATAGGTTAACACGCAGTTCAAAAGGAAATGGTGCCGAAGAAAAAGAGACTGCCGACAATAGTCACACTCACCTGAGAAGTTTGGAGCGTTGTAAAAACGTGTTCAACCCGTTTTGATCAATTCTGTCGATTGGAATTGATTGAACAGCAAGCAGCAGATAAATGTCAATAAACAAACCCGTCATATATATGTGTGACGCTGAGAAATTGCTAATAGAAGTCCGGATGCTGCTTAGATTGACGAGAATACGTAAATTCCCCTAGATAGTAAAACAAATCGGCTTGTTTCAATCAGGACGAAGTCGGAATTTTATTTTAACCCTTTCCTTCCCAGAAAGTTTTTTGTTGTTTTGAGATGTACTGACTAATGGTAGATTGACAAGCATGAGACGCACCGAAAATTTGTGATCACCACCCATTGGAAGGAGAGGATTATCCGGAAATGGGACATTTTTAAAATGCGTTTATTTTTATGTGCGCGTCAAAATTATTCATTTATATATCAAATCAAAAACAGTTCAAACATCCACGCAACTAGAATTTTATACCGAGAAGAACTAGATTTATTTAAAGTAATGGTTTTGTAATACATATTTGTCACTATTTTTTTTGTCTAATCCATTGGATGTTTAATTCTTTGATGATGGCGACGCACGTTGGTATTAATATGGATATAAATATTAGTTTTGATAGATACAAATAATCAAAATGGGTTGTGAAAATTAAAAAAAAAACTCAAATCTCATCCTTGAGGCTCATTCGCAGGTTTTTTATTAGAAATTTCAACTGCACAATAATCATCTGAGATTTCCGGTACAAAAATGCATTGCCTTATATTTTGGCACTATTCATTGTACTTAGTGATTATTTTTGCATTATTCTATAGAAAACTTAAGAAACATACATGATATATAACGGCTTTCATGAGTGTTGTATTTTCAAGCGTGAGACTTGTTTGTAGGTTCGCAGGCCAATTTATTCTCTCAGGAGAGCGCAATTAATGAGATTTGAGAATGATTTCCCTAACACTTGTAGACACTAAGCCCAAAACGACTTAGAAAAAAAAACCACTATGCAAAATTTGAGCTCAATCGGACATGATTTGGGGTGGCGCAAAATCGTCAAAGTTTGAACTTTTTTCATCTGAAAAATATCCCAAGTTGGTGGATCCATGAAATTTCGGAAAATCTACAATTTTGTTTTGATGCCAAATGACTTAAAAATGCGTGAAACGTCGAGATCTAGTGTTAACTTTTTTTTTCGAAATCAACATCGGGACTTAATGAATGTTAGGAAATCGATTTGCTTTTCGATGCCAAATGATTTAAAAATGCGTGAAAAATCGAGAAAAAATTCTACGATAATGTAGCCTTAAATATACAATACGTTTGAATATACCAAAATATGATTTGTTAACGTTTTGGCTGTTACGCTCTTTTTAAATTAAATGTTGGTCTAAATCTTGGTTTTTGTTTATTGTCGACATAACAAGACGACTCTTCAATTGACTACTATCTTTCTCGATTCCAATTTCTTTTCTCCATAACAGCGAAGACATCATATTAAGAAGACTGGCAACTTTGCCTGAATCCAAGGGATAGATACAGTAGCGCCATAGAGGTAACTCTTAGACCAGAAGGTCCCGAAGAAACGTGCTCAACTTTTTGGCTCAGCTCTGGTACTCTCTTCGGTCTCAAGCTAATCGATGCACTCCTCGACACATAGGAAAATCCACGAACCGGATCAAAACAAACATAGTGTAGTACTAGAATTTCGACTATAATGGGGTTCGTTAATCGATTTGCTTGGGACCAATAGGTTAGTCAAGCAGTGAGCCAATTTAAAATCGTTAGTTTCCACCGGTTGGTAGCGCTGCCTTTGAGCGAAGGTGGAAGCAATGCATAGAAGAATGAGCAAATTCTACGTATGAGAAAACGAGAGAGTTGTCAGTCTTTTTAATATGTTGTCTTTGATAACAGTCTCGAAGCTCTGCAGAACATTTTTGAACCCCTCCAGAAGGCGGAAATCATTCTCATGGGAAATCGCTTAAATATCTGTTCATACTTCTCTTTAACCCTTATGTGCCTGTGGAATTGTTTGCTTTTTTTCTACACCGTGCTATAAAAATATGAGTTGGGTACCCCTTAACGGTGACGGGGTAACGGTTACAATTCCGTTGCAGTATTCCCAAAAGTTTCCTTGGAGTTCATCCTAGAATTGTTTTCGAATTCTTATCAGAATTATCTAGGAATTTACTCAGGTTTTACCTGTAATTGGAATTCACCTCAGCATTCCCAAAATTCTCTTAGAATTCATCTCAGAATTTCGCTGAAGCTATCTTTACATTGATTCAATTGAAATTCTTCTCGAAATCGCCCTTGAATTCACTTTAGAATCCCTTTGGAATGCTTCTCGGAATTTCATTGAACATTTGCTCAGAATTCCCTTGGGATTCTTCTGAATATTTATTTGTAACAATTTCGAATTTCGTTGGAATTCTTATGAATTCACCTCTGAATCCCCTTGAGACAATTTCAAACATTAGCCTTAAATTATGCAATATTCGATTCCTCAGAATATATCTTTTATTATTATTATTATTATTATTATTGTTATATTCACTTTAACGCTCTTGTGTCATTCGTGACTTGTCCGGTGGTGAGATTTGAACTCGTGACTTTAGCGTGAGAGGTATGGATGCTAACCTCAACACCGTGGTAGCCCCCCCCCCCCCTCAGAATATATCTTTGATTGATTGAATGATTCACATTTAACAGATGTTCAGCCGTGGGTTGGTTCGTTTCTGTAAAATAGTGAGCGTCCTTGGTTAGATTGTTTACAGAGTTAGAGGATTATGATTATGTACATAAGTTTCATCATGGGCAGTGTCCAGGTTTGTCAGTGAACCAGGAAATAAGGAAAACCTGGAATGTCGGGAACAAAGTATACATTGTCCTCTCTCTGGAAAAAAAAGGTTCTGGTCCTTGAAATGTTGTCAAGGTCTTGGTCTGGGTTTACAGGATTTTATCACATTGAAAAATTAGGAGCATTTAGAGAGAATTTTAGGGATATCATCTAGGTATGTCTGGATTAGTTATAAGGGAGTTTTCATTAGAACTCTTGCCTTGTAGTGAACATAATTCTTAGGTGATTGTGAGAAGAGCTCTAGGTGAAATTTATGGAGGATCTGAGCGGAGTTTTTAGGTGATCCTGTGGAGAATTCCATGATGATTGTGAGGATGGTTTCAACTCAAATTCTAATGGATATTCCAGGTAAATTCTGAGAATAATTTCGTGGAAGTACTTTGAGGCTGTGGAATTATAATGATAGTTCCATAATAAATCTGGGCCCTAAGTCTAAAGAATTTTGGAGATAAGTACAAGTGAATTTTGAGGATAATTCCAAGTAGATGAGGATAAGTTCCAAGCAATTTTCGTGAAAAATACCGAGAGAATCGAAATTTGAAGTTATAATTCCAATGGAATATCGAGTTTAATATCAAGAACATACGGAGAAGTATTTGAAGAAAATTCTGAGGAGAATTCCAAGTGAATGTTCTGAAGAGTTCAGAGGAAAATTCCAAGTTAATTTTAGGCAGAATTTCAAGACTTTTCAGAGGTAAATTTAATGGGAATTCATAGGAGAATTCAAGTGGGTTTTATGATTAATTCTTAAAAAGCTTCAGCGAACTCTTGGGAGATTTAAAACTTCATAGAAAAACTTAGGGTGAATTTTAAGATTTTTTGGAGTGTTCTACAGAGAATTTTACGACAGTTCTAAAGACAATTACAAGGAAATATCAGATAGAAACTCTTGAGAACATTACAAAGAAAGAATTCTGAATGAATTATCAAGGTAGTTAAAACATAGCCAAATGTTCAAGATTTCAGTGACCCATTTATCCCAGTAGAATTAATCGCATTCGGTTTTTCGCATTTCCAGTGAAATGTCAGCTATGGGTGTTATTTTAATATTAAGCAATATTTGAATGTTTAGCAAACAAATGAATATGGTAAGGTAGGTACAAAATACAAATCGAAAGAGCGTGAGGAACCGGGGGTTGTAAAGTTGACCCACCCTAATGTCGGTATTCGGACAAACATGTTAGGCCCGATAACCGGAAAGTGAAATTCTTAAATCCAGTGGCCACCTTGATATTAATTAAATTTTACAAAATTACTTTCGTAAACCTTAAGAGAGTTCTTTGTCAGGTCTTAGCGATTTTACAAATTACGATCAAACCGTCAAAGATGCACACCAGGGTTGGTGAGCTTTACTACCCCCTATTCCTTATTGCTCTTTCGATCGATCTGGGTTGCGGACGTTGAGGTCCCCAACAACTGTGTCAAATTTGAACAAATTTATGATGGTTATGATCTGGATTTTCAGGAGAACTTGAGTATGGGAAACGGAACCAAACTATTAATTTGCTCATCAAAAAATTCAAACTTTGACTAATTTTGACTTCGATTTGGCAAACTATGCAGTACAACTTTGTCCCAGATAGCAAATCGATTCGTGTGCAAGCAGTTATTATTTGTTTATTTTAAACCTAGTGCTCCGCGCATACCTACAAGCTTCAA